ATTTCAGTTAAGTATATTTAAATTAAATTGTTAGAAAAATTAGGGGCGGGGGTAATTATTTTCTTTCGAAAGGGGGGCGCAAAGAAGAAAAGGTTGGAAACCACTGTGTTAAAGATTCATTTATTATATATACAATTATTAATTCATCTGTAATTATTATATCTAAACTAAACGTTATAATTTGTGACATTCTATGTGTTATGTATGTGTAGACAAATTGCTCATCGAGATATATTTTTAACTTCCCGAAGGAGAAGTTTGTTTTCATCAAAAAATCCGATTCTCTAATTTTATGTTTTCTCGACGTTTCAAGACATTCTGAATCGAATGAGACCAAATTTGGAAAAAGTATGTGTGTGTGTGTGTGTGTGTGTGAACAGATTTTTTGCCGTAAATCGACGTTTTCTCGAAAACGGCTGGGCCGATTTCAAAAATTTAAAAGCCATTCGATGTATCTCGACGAGAACTATTGTTTGTCAGTTTTGTGCGACGATCGGCCAAGCCGTTTCTTTATAAATCACAGAAAAGTGAAAAATTTTCGTCTACGTTTTAGCCCGCAATTCTGAATCGATTTTGAAAATTCAAAAACCGTTCGAAAGATATTGGTTGGGAATCGTGCTGATTAGTTTTTGGTAGAGATCGGCCGGGCCGTTTTCTTGTAATAAAGTTTAAAAAAAAAAATTTCGACGATTTTTATGATTATTTTTTTGACGGTAGATACCATAGTCTTCTAGATCATACTAAAATTTTACGGCCCTACGACAACTGGTTCAGCTTTAAAAAATTGTCAAAGTTTGGAAAAATTGGTATCGTTTTTTTGGCATTTGTCAAAATTAGACTTTTGATCGACGTTTCCTCAAAAACGCCTGAACCGATTTTAGAAATTTAAAAGCCATTTGATGTATTTCGGTGGGGACTATCTGCCAAGCCGTTTTTTTCCAATTTGAAAAAAAGTGTTAAACTTTTCGTGCACATTTAAGCTCATCCTACCGAACGGATTTTAAAAAATCAAAAACTGTTCGAAAGATATTAGTTGGGAATGGTACTGATTAATTTTAGGTGAAAATCTACCGAGCCGTTTTCTTGTAATGAACTGTTGAAAAAAAAATTTAAGCCGATTTTCATGGAACTTTTTTTGGCGATATACATCATGGTCTCATAGAACTTACCTTAATATTACGGCCTTACGACAAGTAGTTTAATTTTAAAAATTCGTCAAACTTTGCTAAAATTATTATCGTTTTTTTTTAAGTAGGATTGATGAAGTATATTATTTTCACATTTTTTTTTATTAAGACGATTATTTACACATATCAGGAAGTTCATGTAACTTGCCTCAAGGCTAAATACCAAACCAACTAGTTCAATATACTTTTAATATATGAAAAATATTGAAACCTTAAGTTTTTGATTATATTGGTTATACATTGAAATATATTAGTCACAAGCTTATACAGCGAATGAAAATAATGAATAACTAGTGGGGTGGGTGGCATCATGCCTTAAGGCAAATTGCTGGAACTTCCCGTACCGTAACGAAGTGTTCGATATGTATAAATGTTGAATGTTTTCAAATAGATTATTATAAATATTGTAACATTGTCTAATATTTATAAGAATTATATAAACTGAATTGCAGAGTTGAAATTATTTGTTTAAAGTATATTAGAACTATAGTCAGAATTAAAAATAAAATCTGAATTATTTTCGATGACAAAAAATTAAAAAAAAAGAAAAAAAAATTGGAACAATTTTTTTTTCCAAAATTAATTATTTTGTTAAGACAAGCAGAAAGTTCTTTGAATCAATTGAATCGGACGCTTAGTTCTCTCAAAAACTGCCATTTTTCGTACATTTAGCTCCGTATCTTCGATATGGCTGGACCTGCCTTTGCGAAAAACTAATAACCACTTCTCCCAATCATTACTAATTGAATTTTTTTTAGATCATTCAAATCGGATGCTTCGTTCTCTCAAAAACTCGATTTCTATTTTCTGCACTCTTGGCTCTTTATCTTCGTAACTGCTGGACCTGCCTTTGCCAAAAACTAATCAGCACATCTCCTTATCAATAGGAATCGAATGTTTTTTGAACCATTCAAATCGGTTGATCCGTACGCCCGAAAACGTGGGCGAAAAATTGTATCCATACATACATACACACACACACACACATCCATTTTTTCTGAAGTATGCCAAAATGTTCAGAAACCTTCAAAACGTCGAGAAATGTAAAAATTTTCAATTCCGATTTTCGGCCCATTACAATAACTTACTCTACGGGAAGTTAATAATAATTATTATTTTTATTCGGCGCGTTGGATTTTTTATTATGAGTAATGAATATACTTATATACAAGATATAAATAAATTTTGGTTTTTAATAAATATTTCCATATATACAGAGTTTATCGAGACGAGCCTAATGCTCGCTCGTCGCTCTTGCAAAGCGACTTTATATGGGTGTTCTTGTACTGGCAGCATAAGGTTGAAAAAGTGTTTTTTGAGGTAAAGACTACTCAATGACTCAAGACTACATTATGTTTAATGAAGAGTTTTTTCCATGGTATTAAAGATCGTTTATGAAGTGTACGGTTAGAGTTCCCACGTAGTTTTCGCGGTTTGGATTTTCATTTTAAATTTTGCGTCGGTTTTGGAGGACAAAATTTTGTTTCTGGTTATGGAGATTAGATCAAATGTTGAGGATGAGAATTGTTACTTAAGATTTGTGATACTAATGAGAGGCTATTCTTCAAAAATTTCTTATGTGACAATGGTAAAGCATGATTTATTAAATTGATAATGATGCCTTTTTTAGTAGGAAGAGGGTGGTAAAAAAGATAGTTGAGGTATCGACCTGAGTAAATTGGTTTATGATACCAATTGGTAATTATATTATTGTTTCCGCGGTAAATATACTCGGGTTTTTATTCGATTTTCAAGAATTTTAAAGCTCACTTATATATTTAAAATAAATAATTTTAGTGTTTAAAATCTATTTGAAAATTTGTGTTAACTAGTGGGGCGCAAGTCATAGTGCCATAAGGCAAATTGCTGTAACTTCCCGTACCGTAATTAAACATTCGAAGAATAAAAATAATCAGTCAACAAAAATGTCTATGAATAAATATTATAAAAACTAAAATTCTCATTATTTGTTCGTTGTAAGCAAAATGTGAAAACATTAGATAAGACGACGTTGAAATGAAATATATATAAACAAAATCTAATTAAGCGGATTTATTGTTAGAATGAACATATCTTATTTCAAATGCATCAATTTTGGTTCGCGAAATATATGCACTGAGTTAACAATTTTAAAGAGTTCATGTAGCATCAACTATACAAGCATAAAAATATTTAAAAATTTTTTTTTTAAATATTACAGACGTGGGATTCGAACCCCTTTCGATGAGCGGATGTCTAGGATCTAATCGGAATTTCTGCACTTTTTGCTCTGTATCTTCGAAACGGCTGGACCTACCTACACCAAAAACTAATCAGCACATCTTCTTATCAATACGAAACGAATGTTTTTTGAATTATTAAAATCGGTTGATCGGTGTTCCCGAAATCGTCGACGAAAATTTGTATCTGCACACACACACACACAAATACACACACACACACATACATCAATTTTTTTCTAAGGTATGCCAAAATATTCAGAAACCTTATGCCAAAATATCAATTTTTTCTAAGGTATGCCAAAATATCTAGAAACGGAAAGATAAACAAAAATTTTCATTTTCGATTTTTTTGCGATTACTTTAACTCGCCCAACGGGAAGTTAAAAATTAATTAAATTTTTGAATACAATTGTTATTAATTTATGACAATTTTGATTTATTCTTGATTTTCTTTATTCATCGAATGTTTAATTACGGTAATTTGCCTTAAGGCATAATTAAGGCAAATTACCGTAATTAATGTGCATAATGGCAATGCACAAGTCACAACTATTTTTTTTTATTTCAGTTATAAACTAATTCAAAGAAAAATGTCTGAACGGCGATGCCTGTAAGATTGGTTCTTGCTTCTTTTTGTTTAAAAAAATTTTTTTTTTCATTGTTCAATATTTCAAAGAATAAAATCTAATAATCTAGATAATTTTATATAATATTACTGGGACTAAGAATTTTATAATTGAATTTAAAAACAGGAAGAGAAAGTTTATCCTGCATATTAATCCCATTTTGAGAATGCTTCGTATCTGATATATTATAAGCAAACATAATGCATGAGTGTGATACAATATTTGATTACGAAGGTAAACTACCTTCATTCTTTGGCTTACATTGCAATTTTTTTCACTGTTGATAACTATAAGTTTAAGATTGCTGTTTTTCGATTGTTTTTTATTTATTATTAATATTTAAAATTATTAGCCCATATCATAGATAATAAAAATTGTTCTAGAGTGAATTTTGAAAGTAAATTGATGATACTGAAACTAATTTTCCCTATACTTATCGTAAGTGTAAGGCCTTATCATTAGTGTAAGGCATGCTAAGAAGTGGATTTGTACATATTCATCAATCTTATTATAATGTTGAAAAAAAAAGTATAATCAAAGGTGTTCAATTAAATTTTGATTATTTATGTACAGTTGCATTCTGTGATTTGTATACCATAATTTGAGTTTGATATTTCTACCATATAATTATAAGAAGTTATAAAGTTTATGATATTTTGCTTAAAGTATAATAAAGTATTGGTAATTTCTGTACATGATTTCACAAAGATCTGAAATGCATTGAAAACTTCGCTAAGTATAAAATGAATATGTGCATAAAAATACACTTTATAGGATTAATCCTATACAGAAGGTATTACGTCAGGCTATAGAAGAAGTATGAGTATGTATCTTATTACCAGAAGAATTTATAGGCTTCTATTAATTCAATTTACTTGAACATTTACTAGATCATTTTATGTATCAATTAACACTTATCAATATTCTTTTACATAATAATTATAATAAACTATTGTGCTTATTACCTGTGTTCATAAGTTTATTAACTGTAATTTCTGTTAGTCCTTGAAACTGTTCTTGTCGAATACGATAACAAACAGCTTTAGCACGATTTGTGATCAGATGGTAGGCATTCCAAGTATCTGGATTCATATCAGAAGTGCAATCCTTTAGTGACTAGAAGATTTATTTACTATGATTTATTTTTGACAACGGATATTGAACAAACTACAAGTGATCATATTTAAATTAGAGATATGTCAACTCATAAACCAACAGAACAAAAATTACAAGAACTTATATACTAATTTATATGTTTACGTTTTACTCAACACTGGGTTAAATTTTGAATAATATTTTAATTATTAGTCATTAAAATAAGCTACCAACCATATTCTCGGTGCAGGGATATAATTCTCTTCCTTCGATAGCTGATTGGCAATTTAACAGCAATACAGCCAGTTTTCCTAACTCTTCACTATTTAAATCATGGCAAGATTTTTTTAAAATAAATATGACCTAAAATTAAACTATTTGAACCAAATTTGCAAATAATTGATTACTAAAATTGTGTAAAATTACATAATAATCATTACCCTATTATAACATTTATCTAAATCAGATGTTTTTAATCCCATTATTTCATTAGCGTGCTGCAAAAACTTTTCATCATTTTCATTAAGTTCAAATGGAATATTTCTCAATTTTATGTCAGTGTCCTCATATGATGTGGCTGGATGATAAATATATAAAATTAAATCACCGTACATATTTAAAAATTCTACTTATCATGAATACAAACATTCCGACTTTGGCCAAATGTAATCCATAAAACTTGAACTTTCCCTAAATAAAATACTTATAAATATATATAAAACCAGAGTAAAATTCCTCATAGTTGGAAAACAAACTTATTCGATACTCTTATATCATTACACTACTGAAATATATCTTATACACTACTGAAAGTAATATTATTAGAGGTTAATATTTTTTTGTATCAATTATTTCAGAACTATAATAATCCTGTTGCTGTGTCAAGTAAAAACAAATTGCTCAGTCACATCTAAACCTTATAAAAATAATATATTAAAGTCTAATAAAACACTAAAAATTGCAGTAATCATCGAAATCGACTCTTTAACCGTTAAAATCTGTTACAAAATTATTTTACTGTCAAGCGAAAATTTTATCGTCAAGTCAAGCAAAAAGCAAAAAGCAAAAGACCATGGACTAAATATGTTATAGATCGGCCATGCCAACCTGCGGCCCGATGGCGGTTTTTGTGCGGGCCCATGACAAACAACAATCGCACAAATTATTATTTTCAATTTAAATAAATAAAATAATTTTTAAAGGTAAAGGCTAATATAGAAGTCTGAACACTAAGTCAGCTTTAACCGAAAATAATGGTCATTAGGGTTATTAATCGAATTAATACATGGCGATATGATACTCTATGGATAGCGCTTGGCAGAAAACGACAAATAATTGTCATTGCAACGGACAACGGCGCGACTAGCGGCTCTATGGACGAATTGGCTTCACTAGTTCACGAGTCATTCACCAGTCTATAAGTCCATATGCTTGTAATCGTGCGGAGTTATCTCTGAAAAAATGTTCATATTACGATTAAAACAAACAAACAGTTTTAAAATACAAAAAAAACATTTTTTCAAAAAATTCATTTTTTTTCAATAATATCAAGATTCTCAAAAATCTAATTTCTTCAAAGTTTTCATAAATATTAAAGCTTTTAAAAGTTTGGAATTACGGTACGAGAAGTTTCATCAAATTGCCTTAAGGCGCGATGCCATGCACCACTAGTTTTCCAGATTTGTTGCGGCCCAGTGCCTTGAATATTTCTAAATTTTAGCCCAAAGAGTAATTTAGGTTGGACATCGCTGGTCTATATGAATACATTAAATTCTAATATTGTCTAGACAATTGTATATTAGAACAGAATTAAAAATAAAATCTGGATTACTTTCATTTTGTTGAAACAAGCAGAAAGTTCTTTAAATTTTGATTAAAAAAACGGCAATCTTTTGCACATTTAGCTCTTTATCTTCGAAATGGCTGGACCTGCCTTTGCCAAAAATAATCACTTCTTCTCCAATCATTTCAAATTGAATGTCTTTAAATCATTCAAATCGGATACTCCGTTCTCTCAAAAACTCGATTTGTATTTTCTGCACTCTTTGCTCCAAAAACTAATCAGCACATCTCCCTACCAATAGGAATCTAATGTTTTTTGAACCATTCAAATCGGTTGATCCGTGCGCCCGAAAACGTGGACAAAAATGCGGATATTCAAAACACACACACACAACATCCATGTTTACTTATCTATGCACATCAGAACACATCAGAAAAAATGGTTTCTGAAGTATGCCAAAAAGTTCAGAAACATTCAAAACGTGAAGATGTGCAAATATTTTCATTTTTGTCCCATTACTATAATTACCCTACGGTAAGTTAATAAAAAAATAATAGAAAAATAATCGATATCCGAGTTCCCGATATCGAGTTTTATTTGCCATGTTGTTCATTCCACATTCTTCTTTTATCTGTGCGGTCGATTTCATATTATACGATGCATAGATAAATCATGGGCATTTACTCAATATACTCATTACTGTTCTTTTAAGAAACATGCTGTGTAGAGATTTGAAGCCGACAAAAATTAAGATCTCAAACAATTTTTTTTTCAAATCAACATGATAACATGATAAAAGAACAGTAATGAGTATATTGAGTAAATGCCCATAATGGCCGGTAATCTCCAAACAAACATCGTATCATGCTTATTTATCTATGCATCTATTATTTTTTCATTAACTTACCGTAGGGTAATTATAGTAATGGGACAAAAATGAAAATATTTGCACATCTTCACGTTTTGAATGTTTCTGAACTTTTTGGCATACTTCAGAAACCATTTTTTCTGATGTGTTCTGATGTGCATAGATAAGTAAACATGGATGTTGTGTGTGTGTGTTTTGAATATTCGCATTTTTGTCCATGTTTTCGGGCGCACGGATCAACCGATTTGAATGGTTCAAAAAACATTAGATTCCTATTGGTAGGGAGATGTGCTGATTAGTTTTTGGAGCAAAGAGTGCAGAAAATACAAATCGAGTTTTTGAGAGAACGGAGTATCCGATTTGAATGATTTAAAGACATTCAATTTGAAATGATTGGAGAAGAGGTGATTATTTTTGGCAAAGGCAGGTCCAGCCATTTCGAAGATAAAGAGCTAAATGTGCAAAAGATTGCCGTTTTTTTAATCAAAATTTAAAGAACTTTCTGCTTGTTTCAACAAAATGAAAGTAATCCAGATTTTATTTTTAATTCTGTTCTAATATACTTCAAACAAATAATTTCAACTTTGCAATTCTTTTTTATAATTTATAATTCAACTTTATAATTTTTTTTTAATTAGACAATATTACGATATTTATAATAATCTATTTGAAAACATTTAATATTCCTCGAACATTTTGTTACGGTACGGGAAGTTCCAGCAATTTGCCTTAAGGCACGATGCTATACTCCACTAGTTAAATAATGATTTTCATAACTGCCCCGAAACGATAAACAAGTAAAATATTTAATGTAGAATTGAAGGCGTTATTGAAGTACAAATCATATGGCCATTTCTAGTGATTTGACGAAGGTCTTTTCTATTGTTGGTTAGTAAGTTATTTTCTTTTTTTGCCCCTGGTAGAGTTGTTTGAAGTCGTCCGGAGAGCAGGTTTCGGTGATCAGCTGGTCGATTTATATATTTGTATGTGAGAGTGATTATTTACTTTTCATAAAAAAAAATCGATTCGTTAATTTTATGTTTTCTTTGCGTTTTAAGCCATTCAGAATTGAGTCAAATTTGGAAAAATTATGTGTGTGTGTGTGTGAACAGATTTTCTCATAAACGGCTGGACCGATTTCAAAATTTTTAAAGCTATTCGCTGTATTTCGATGAGGACTTGCGTTTATCACTTTTGCGCACGATCAGCAATGCCGTTTCTCTGCAAATAGCAGAAAATTGGTAACAAATTTGTCTACGCTTTAGCCTGCAATTCTGAATCGATTTTGGAAATTCAAAAACTTTTCGAAAGATATTGTTTGCGAATGATACTGATTAGTTTTAGGTGAAAATCTACCCAGCCGTTTTCTTTAAATTAACTGTTGCAGAAATAATTTTTGTCGATTTTTATGAACCTTTTCTGGTAATAGATATACGGCCCTATAAAACAGACTAAAATGTTACGGCCCTACGACAGATATTTTAATGTTAAAAATTCATCAATGTTTGAGAAACTATTATAGTCAAAATTTGTGCTAAAAGTTGCTTTTGTGATGTGATGAGTCAAACATTATCAATTCATTAAAAGTTAAAATAATAAGCCAAAATATATAAATTTAAATTTCGATTGATTAAGTCAATTCTTACACATTTCGGGAAATTTATGCAACTTGCCTTAAGGCTAAATGCCACTTTCAACTAGTTTTATTTTTGATTGTGCTAGTGTCTGTGCCAATGTGTATTAGCCAACTTGGAACATACTTTTGTGCTTTCAAAATTTGTTTTGATAATTTAGTTTTAATTTTTAACTTCCCGCAGGGTAAGTTATTATAATTGTCCAAAAATCGAAATTGAAAATTTTAACATTTCTTCGCGTTTTGAAGGTTTCTGAACATTTTGGCATACCTCAATAAAAATGGATGTGTATGTGTGTGTACGTATGTATAGATACAAATTTTCGTCTACGTTTTCGGCCGCACTGATCAATGGTTTGAATGGTTCAATAAACATCCGATTTCTATTGATAGGGAGATGTGCTGATTAGTTTTTGGCAAAGACAGGTCCAGCAGTTACGAAGATAAAAGGCAAAGAGTGAAAAAAATAGAAATCAAGTTTTTGAGAGAACGGAGCATCCGATTTGAATGATCCAAAAAACATTCAATTACTAATGATTGGGAGAAGTGGTTTTTAGTTTTTGGCAAAAGCATTCCTAGCCATTTCGAAGGTACGAAGCTAAATGTGTAAAAAATGGCAGTTTTTGAGAGAACTAAGCGTCCGATTTAAATGATTCAAAGAACTTTCTGCTTGTTTTAACTAAATAATTGATTTTGGGAAAAAAAATGTTTCAAATTTTTTTTGCAATTTTTTTTTCAAAAAAATTTTTTTGTATATCGATTATAATTCAGGTTTTGACTGACTAAAGTTCTAATATACTTTAAACAAATAATTTCAACTTTGCAATTCAATTTATATAATTCTTATAAATAGTAGACAATGTTACAATATTTATAATAATATATTTGAAAATATTCAATATTCCTCGAACATTTCGTTACGAGACGGAAAGTCCCAGCAACTAGTTCAAATTACTATTTACAGTGTAAATTTTACACCAATATATGAGTGATGTTAAATGTAGAACTGCTTCAAATAATATGATAATTCTCAATTCCCAAAGTTAACACTTTAATGAACCCTTTAACAAATATTAAAATATGTTAAATAAAATTGTATATTAAAAATTATACACTGCAATTTATAGAACAAATTTATTTCTAATAGCTCGATTTATTTTAATGCCAAGGTTTATCCAATATTTTTAGTCATACCTGTAGATGTGGATGTACAAATAAATGATTTTTGTTTATTCGCGACTAAACAATTGATTTTTCAAATTTATCACAAAAAAATCATCGTCTGGCTTTGTGATGTATTTATGGTTATAGCATAAGGTATAACAAATTCAGAAAGAATTAATGTATAGTATTCGCGGTAAAGGTACAATATCACCTTGGATTTTTCTACACAAAATAATTGCTTCAATAATGGTACCTATAATTTTTATAATTTCGTACCATATTTTAACTGGCTTTTAGTAATTTTAATAACTAAATTACATTTTTCTCACTAATAATTCAATTTACATTATTACTTAAGTTATA